CCCCCCCACTAAACTCAACGTCGAACCAGGGTCTGGCGGTCCCTGCGCCGAGAACGTAATGTTCGCCAACGCCGTCGCAGCCGGCGTATCTTCCGCCATGGTCCCGGGCATTCCAGACGCCCAGGGCAAGCCAGTCGCGTTAACGCATGTTGTGGCCGTAGCGAATGATGATCGGGGGGTCATCAGTCCGTGTGGCAGGTGCAGGCAGATGATGTTTGATTATTATCCTGATATCAAGGTTATTGTTAAAGATGATGAGGGCGTGCTGAGGACGGTTAGTGTGCAGCAGTTGTTGCCGTTTGCGTATGATCAGAAGAGGATTAGGAGGTTGGGGGATCCGGCGAAAGCTGCTCTTGATTATTGAGTGGATGGTGGATGGAATGTCGCGAGGGAACGGGTGAGCGGTATTTGAAAGAAGCTCTTCTGATGACATAGCTTTGCATAGATCGATTGGTAAGTATGGGTGTTCGTGCTACTAGATTCTAACGTTTCAAGAGACCGGACTTCACTTGACTGGTAACGGCATACTGATTTACACACGAGGTTTATTACAATTTCAAAGTACCAGTGGACTAGATTCTTTCTCTCGCAAGTGCATGAGCCTTTCAAGCCGCGAGACAGGCGACATCAAAAAGTTTCTAGTAGCGGGACTGCCGGCTCTGGAATTTATGATACATTTTGCTGGATGCGCCAACTCCATAGCTTTCTCCTCCGCATCATTTCATCTCTTTGGAACTCTTTGTGCATCATCAATGTTAAAGTGATGCAGCGCTGCCCCGCGGCTGCCCCTTTTGTTAAGCGATGTTGGTTCCAGCATCGATAAAACTAGGTCACGAACACGAGTACCTATTATACGAGGACCACAAAAAATACCCTTCAGCTCACATTGACTAGTTTCGCCTCTGCTAGGCGTACTTGAGATTATCTATCATGCGTTATTTTGGTTACTTTGAGGTGGTGTGGCAAAGCCCTTGCCGGTTGTACTTTCAGGAGGCCCAATCAGCCCGCTGCCTAGCAGAACCAACAAACGCCAACAAGTTTGGTATTTGTATATTAGACTTGAAAATCCTCGTCTTTTCATTTCAAGTAATAAGAGCATCGGTGATATCAAACACCATTTCGAAGTTAACGACGGACGTGATCAAACAATATGGTTCTTTTGGATCTTGAGCGGCAGTTGGCCAATTTGAATATCGCGGATAAGGAGGAAAAACCACATGTAACTCGATTCGCCGAAGATGAAGTGCAGGAACAAGAGTCATTGGTTTGTTTATACACTTTTCACAATCACCGGAAGGAGTAAACTAACATCTTACTCTATGTAGAAAAACCATTATACACCAGAAATCCCCATCAACTGCTTCGACCACGAATATCTTTTCAGAGCAGTATCTTCGGGATCAGATATCAGGGGACCGAACGGTGAAATTCACGCGCGATTGTTTCCACCTCCGGAAGCTTTCAACTTAAAAAAAGATGCCAAAAAGTGTATTGAGAATCATCTTGATAAGGATTTGAGAGTTGCAGGACCTTTCATATCACTGGCACCGGATTTTTTGAGGGTTTTAAATATCGCCTAGGGATTCTCCTGCAACAAGAAGACTGGCATAAAAATATTTGTTGTTGATAGCTGGAAGCTTCGCAATGGAAGCTTTGCATCCTGCAACAAAGTGCGTCGAAGCGTTGGCCTGGAGGCAGACCGGAAGTATAACAACGAGACACTCGCTTGGGGAAGCATCCCCGCCGATGCAATTGTCCACGAATGGTCCTGGGAATGTCTTGAACGTAGTGGACTATTCCAGTTATTTCCTGCTCTTGTCAAAAGGGACAGGGACCGCTCGATCAGCACACTTCGAGATCGCATCAGTTCTACGTCTTTTTTATTTTCCATAGAAAATATGCTAGATGTATTAGTGATATGTTTGAAGATGTCACCTGCAACTGTACTCACTCGGCAAATTTCACTTATGATGCTGGGGTGGGCCCACGAAAAAGAGTATTGCTACGTAGCATTTTTCTATGATTTGGAAAGCAATCTACGCGCGTATCGTCGGGTGGAGGTTGAGAAGTTGGACATGGAACTTTATGGAAGATGTTTGAAGATCGGTCTCGAGGAAAAGGGATATCTCGAGATTCTCATTGAAGATAAGATAGATATTGGCTTTTTATACTAGCGATGGATCGGTCATTTACACCCACTTTTGAAGAATGGTACAAACGAAGAGGGGGCCTGGGAAGGAAGACGATTCTTGCATCAGAAGAAAGCAAGCCTGGATTTATACGATTATTGGAAGTGGGGGACAAGTAGCAGAGCTACAGCCAGATTAATTTAGCTCCTAAGAAGAGTCGAGCTAGTCGGAAGGTGGCAGGGGACTAGAATTTGGTAATTTGAAGAAGTTCTTTGAAGACTTGCTTGATAAATAGAGGAATGTTAGGTTAATAAGAAGGTAGACTTTTTCCCCCCATTTAAAATTGAAGGATATTGTAAACTAAGTAGCCTCGCACTTGTCTGCTTGTATAGTAGCCTCGCATGGTCCGTGCAGCAGCGATCTATCACAACCCTGTATTCCATGACCGATATTTCATATCAAACTTCTTCTGTTATCTCACTCCGAGCTTCCTCTTTCAGTTTCCCCTCTCCGCCACAACGGATAAGGCTTGTGAGCGGTAGGTTCCGTGGCCAATCATGCAAACGCGCAAGAGTTATAATTACTTGGTTGACATCGACATCATTCCAAGCGTCGTCAGGTACCACGGAAGTGGGGTACAGCTCTCTCGAAATGTCCATGTCCATCCAATCTTCGGATCTGCAGGCTCAAGCTTTTCCTGCGGGCATGATGAGTGATCGGGTAACACCGCAGCTAGGTTGATACAATCGACAGTTCTTTCAAATCTACTCGCTTTCTTTCCTTGAATAAATTCATTCTGTTCATCGAATCATTCGAGCGTGCCTTCCCCCAGAAGGTCAAGGAAACAGCGACTAGTCGTAGCTTCCTACGTTCTATTTATTTTCTTTTTAAACTTTCTCCCAGCCCAGCCTCTCCTCCCACCGAGCAAAAAATATGGTTTCCCCCCTCCTGCTCCTCGCACTCAGTGCGCTTGCTTCTGCGTATCCAAAACAAATCTGTGATGGTGCGAATGGAGCTGTAGCTTCTGAGAGCAAGGTGTGCTCGCAGATTGGAATTGATGTATTGAAGGATGGGGGAAATGCTGCTGATGCTGTAAGTACCAGCTGAAAGTTCTGGGGAGGCTTGTGTATTGTGATTAGAAGCTGATTGAGTGAAAGCTTGTTGCCCAGCAATTCTGCGTTGGGGTGGTTGGAATGTATCACTCTGGTGTTGGTGGGGGTGGATTCATGACTGTCCGTTCGCCGAAAGGAGAATACGAGTTTATTGACTTCAGAGAAATGGCTCCTGGTGCAGCTTTCGTAAGTTAATGGTTTCTTTTCGGAGGAGGAGGAATCATTGGAGCTTCCCGCATATTGCCTTGAGACTCTCAAAGCCCTACTCACTTGTCTCGGGATGGACTTGAATTCAGCATGAGTTTCTAATAGTTCAAGTCGAGGGAGACACCGAAACTCTGCCGGTCAGATGCTCATGCCTAGCTTTGTTCCTCCTGATGTTACCTGGAAAATGAAATACTAACCTTTGGGTTCCTAGGAATCCATGTACTCCTCCAACATCAACCTCTCACTCTACGGCGGATTAGCAAGCGGCGTGCCTGGCGAACTTCGCGGATTGGAATACCTGCACAAGAAATACGGATCGAAGCCCTGGAAGCAATTATTGCAACCGGCAATCAAGGTTGCGAGAGATGGTCAAGCGGTGACCGCAGACCTTGTGAGATATATTGGATCTACTGCAAACAACTCCTTCCTCACAACAGACCCATCGTGGGCTCTCGACTTTGCGCCAAACGGAACTTTGGTTAAATTGGGGGATACGTTGTACCGAAAGCGTTATGCCAAAACTCTCCAGGCTATCGCGGAGCATGGTCCAAACGCTTTCTATTACGGACCCATTGCGAATGCTACGATCAATGCCCTTCAATCAACTGGTGGTTCTATGACCCTTTCAGATTTGGCAAATTACACCATCAAGATAAGACCCCATTCAAATATCACATACCGAGGATATAAAATTACTACTGGAAGTGCGCCGTCCAGCGGGGCAGTTGTTTTGAGTGCCCTCAAAATCGTCGAAGGCTATGATATGTCTACACCTTCACTACTGAACCTCTCAACCCATTACCTAGACGAGGCAATGAAATTTGGATATGGTCAACGAACAGAACTCGGAGACCCAACCTTTGTTACAAATATCACAGCATATCAGCAGAGGATGTACTCCGAGAAGACCGCTGGGGAAGTCCGAAGCCTGATCCAAGCAAATAGTGTTTTGAGTACCCAAGCATATAACCCATCCAGTTATGATATCTTGACCGACGACGGAACAAGTGCTGCAGTCGCAGCCGACAAGAGTGGCCTCACAATTGCCATCACATCTACTATCAATACGCTCTTTGGAAGCCGTGTCATGGTTCCCGAGACAGGTATTATCATGAACAATGAAATGAACGGTATGTACTCCCTACTCTACAAATGTTCTCTTACTAACATATCGCAGATTTCAGTGTCCCAGGTACAACCAATGCCTTCGGCTTCACTGCTTCCCCAGCAAACTATATCCGACCCTTCAAGCGCCCACTCTCCTCGATCTCCCCCTCCATCGTCGAGTACCCTGACGGATCCGTCTACATCTCGCACGCCTCCGCAGGCGGCTCTCGCATCATCACTGAGATCCAACAACACCTGTGGCACGTGCTAGACCAAAACATGACTTCGGCACAAGCTCTCGCGCAACCGAGAATGCACGACCAGCTCGCTGGAGTTGTGTCTTTTGAATACGGGAACCAAGATGTGCAGGGTTATAACAATGAGACGACTGCTTTCTTTGCGCAGATTGGTGCTAATGTCACTTTTGTGGCGCCTGGGCAAACAACTGCGCAGGCGTTGAGGAGGTTAGCGAATGGAACCTTTGAGGCGGCTAGTGAGCCTAGGCAGGAGAATAGTGGTGCCTTTGTTATTTGATGAAGGTTATAAAAAAGCTTGTAGATTGTTGAGTAAATCATAATCACTATTCAATGTAGTACTGAAGGAAGTGGAAGGAGCACTTGAATTCTAATTGTGCAGTGAGTCACTAAGCAAACTCTTTTCCTGTTTCAGGTTCTCTCTTCTATGGCTTGCAACGTTATGTCTCTTGAATCGGAGCAAACATCTAGACTTATTTCTATTTTTCAACTTGAAAATTTAGCTTGGAAGGAAGCAAAGAACATCCCCTCATAATACCTTTGTCCTTTTGAGTTTTTTCCTTTTAGAACGTCCCAGCAAGTCTGGTTGGTTGATTGACCACACAAAGTCTTTCTCTTATACTTTAAATTGTATTCATTGGACCAAGATTCTAGTGGTCCGCTTTTGAACGCGTTTACTCAATTCACTTTCAAAGAACCATCACCCCAACAAAGAGACTCGACTAGTGAATAACACGAAAAGATTCCTCAACCATCTCGAAAAAACATACCCCGAGAAAAATAAACGCGCCTCTTTTCAACACGCCTCTTTTCAACACCATCCAGCACCACCATGGCATCCGAACCACAACCCCTCTTACAAACATCACCAACCCATCCCCTCACCTTCAACCTCGCCCTCGACCGCCCCGACTTCCTCACCCGCGCCCCTCCCACCCCATCCACCTTCCCCCACACACGCA